TCGTCTGTGCATGGGACGAGCTGAGAGCGGCCAATTGGCCTCATCGGCGACGTATGTGTGCTCGCGGGGAGAAGAGCAGCTTTGCTAATTAAATCCAGACTGTCGCAAAAAGCAGCGCGTCTCAGTGAGTGTGTTATCAGCTGGGTTGGTTCGGCCGCAGTAGCGACGAGAGAGAGCCAAATTGGGTGCTCGAGCTGCCGTTGGCATTACTGGGCTTATTAAACGCAAACCTTCAGACGCACGCCCGCTGTCTGTGTGATACGACGACATTCTCTCAGAGAAACCAAGCATACATCTCATTATGCCATCTTTGATTCAAGAGCCCTCTGCTCTGCACTACTTCTCTCGTCTCGCAAACTTGAAATAAAACGCTTTGTCGCAGAGCGGCGCATACAGTTACACACATGAGCCTTTGCTTTTGAAGAATTGAAATCGTCGCGCGTTCGTGCTCGCTCTCGCCCATCATTTTAATGAGGCGTCGCGAATTTGAGATTTCAAAACCCTGCATCGGTGAGCCTCGTTTGAATCAGCTACATTCTACCGCCGCCGCCTTTAATGCTTGAGACTGAACGTCACTTTTGATTCCAACTTCCAACAACCATTTCACATAAATATCCTATTTAGCAAAGTTGGGTGCAGAAAATGCGTAGTTGCAAAATTTGTTCAGAGTGGTTCAGAGGGTTGGTTATAAATCCAACAAAATTATATTATTTTTCAATAAGTCAATAAAATATTGAACCTTCTATTAGAAATGTTATTTTAATTTAATTTAAAAGCCATAGAAAATATTACAAAATTTTTATTATTCATGTTATTAAAAATTTTATTTAAATTATTGTTACAAATTTCACATGAATTTTTGTTTGTGATACAAATTTAGTATTTAAATTCAATGCAGAAAGTTTTATATAATATTATAAATTGCATGCGATTTTTAAGATACATGTGAAAATTATAAATTCTAGAATCAAAACATGTAGTATCATCTGCTTTATACATATATATGTTACATCCTGCCATATCAGATTTTATTGTTATTATCGGTTAATATGATCTTATTTTATGAACTATATGTATTTGATTAAATTAATTATTCTATGAAAACATGCTTAACAATTTGTAATTTTTAAATTATCTTTGGGTAGTGGAATAATTTTGAAACATTCTGCTGCAACTATGAACTGTATGATAGACTCCAAGATTATTTATATGTAATAATTTACTGTGTATTAAGTCATAACAAAAACCATTCAATGCCTATTAATTGTATCTCTGGAGCTCTATTCAGAGGAAAAACAGCAAAATTAATGCTTAAAAATTTTATCGAAATTTAGCAAACTTCGAATTTTATCATCTCCTCAAGTGCCTTTTTTCCTACAATTTAAACTTATTCAACTTCATTTTAATTTTCAATTGAAAATTTTATTTTAAAATTTACAGATTGATATTCAAAATAATGAATTAAATTTTGGATACATATTATTAAAAGGGGTGATAAATAAAATTATCAACTCTGCTAAAGTTTAGGAAATTTGTATCGCATTCAAATTCAGGACTTTGTGTTTTGCTTATGAGATTTTTCTTCTCTTACAATGAAATTATCTTGCAAGACTTTTTTGCAAACAATAATAAAAATTTCTCTTGATGTGGCAGTTTTTTAAGACTACTGCGTCACAGAAATTGAAACCACCAGAAGGTGCGTTGCGGTCACTGACATAACCTGGGCGTGCACACCTGTGCGGAATTGATTTGTCGTTAAAAATGCAAATTGTGTGCGGCAGTCCGAAAAATGGCTCAGCGTGATCAAAGAGCATGGCTGAGCGAAATTAGCATTTTCCAATTGAGAATACGCCAACGGTGCGCGACAAAAGGAGCGAGAGAAATAAAAAGGGTTTTGATGTTTCCATTTTTAATTCAGCCGGGCCGGAAAATGTGTGTATATAACTCCAGCCGGGCGCGGCTCTTTCTCTTTTCAAGAGAGAATGGCGAAAACCTTATCATTCGTCACTCATTGCTGCTGCCTTTTTACGACTTTTCACCCATGTGCCGCCGCCGCAAAATATGCCGCTCGTTTTTCACTGGCACTTTGGGCTGTGTGTGTATTATAATAATATAATGTGCTGCTCTCGGCACGCTGCCTGCGAATATAGGCATTTGGAAAAGTCATTAAACTTTAACTGATATGCCAAGTGTGAAACGTGATGTGTGCGGCGGTTTCATTTCGAATTGGGCCCGACGAGTGAGCTTTTTCTCGCCCACCGCAATAATCAGATTTCTCGGCGAGCCGTGTATATTTATTTTAATTAAAAACACACACACACACACTCACCAGCCATTTCGCCGGGTGCGCAACGAGTGCTCGTCGGAATTATTTTCGCAACCGCAGCAATTTGATTTGGGCGGTAACGAATTTCACACGCCGACTGTTTTTTGCGAGTCAAATATTTGCCTTTTACCCGTGTGTGCAACACACGGAGAGTGGTTGATGATGGAAAAGGGTGAAGGGATGATGGCAAAAAGAGGTATGCACTCTCAAAGGCGCGCAAGGTTTTCCCTCGACCAATTTAGAGTGTTATTGAAACTCTCGAAACGTTTTATTTTCCAAAAAAGCACCTGCATGCAAAACTTTGTCACTTTCCTCTGCACTTTTTCATTTCGCGCTCATCAGCGAACCCAAACGACGCAAACTTTCAATAATAATATAAGAAAAAAATTATATGTTCGCGGTAAATTCCAACTTTTGAGACATATCAATAAAGACACGGTGCCGCGGAAAACACGGGCGAAGTTAAAAGTTTGATGCCCATCCTGGCACCAGATTTCCGCTCAATTCATATTTTACACCGTTCCACTTACACAAGAGAAACTTCTTAATTATTCCATCCACTTTGTACTTGCTCTGGCTTGATGATAAAACCACGTCGGCTGAAGCTAACCCCCCGCTTGATGCTTTCGATCCATCTCATCTCTTGAATTTTCCGCCTAGAATTTTGAGTGCACGCTAATCACTGCCCCGCATGATGATCTAGTCCTGTTTTAAATTCGCCCCTGTAACAAAAATCCTGGTTTTAAATGCGCAATTTTATTCCTAGCAACATTAATTTCTTAATTAAAAATCAATTCAAATAATATAGAGAAGAGAAAAAAAATTCAATTTAATTCATTTAAAGCTTCTTAATTTAATAGATTCTTACCTAAATATTCTTCATACATATTTACCAAGTGTAATTACTGATGCTTGCTATTAATTTTACTTTTGAAATTTATCTTTAATTATCACAGGAAATGCGAACTGGGAAAAACCAATGAAATTATAAATTTTAATTTTCTCCAAAATATTGTTACTTTTTTATCATTGTTGTTTTTATGCTACGAATAAAAAAAAAACATAAAATGCGCTCAAAACGTCACAAATTTGCCGAGCTTGTTTTTTGTGTCCTGCTCTTCCGGGAGGGACTACGCACGATTAGTACGGCGTGCATAATAAATTCGGTCCCGTCTCCAGTGAGTTACTTATGTTTATTTGGCTCTGCGACGCTCATCATTTGTGGACGGGCACGATGGACAAAAAGCTGCAAGCTACCCGGCCAACATATTGCAGTTGCCGTGTTTTGTCGTGTTTCGCAAAGTTTTTCATTCCGCTCTCTACTACACGTCAGAGATTATTTTATTCAGTTTGCTCGCAATTGGCTTAAAGTCAACACGACAAAAACACTCCCTGCTACCTTCTCACTCGGCCGGCTAGTTCGTCCGCCCCTCGACGGACACTGCAGCTTTATAGCCAGTGCTGTTTTGTTCCAGAGCGAATTTCCACAGCTTGCTACATGGCCGCATCAAAAAGTATTAAAACTGATCCACGTGTGCGCTCTGTCAGCGAAGGACAAAAAATGACAGTTCCGGCTCTTTTTTTAGTCCCCGTGCCTTTCTGGACCAAAGTTTTTCTGTATTTCCTCTGTTGCTACGTATATACTCCAGGGGACGTTCCAGTTAGTTGCGATGTAGTTTTGGTGGTAATTAGTGTCCGAGAGGAGAAAAACAAGACCTGCGGGCTTTTTGGCAACTTCTTTTGCCTCCAAGAGTTTCATGAAGTTGCTTCCTGGGATAAAAGCTACAAAGCTTCCTTGTTATCACATACGCAGTTTTTAATCTGTATATAACAAAAAAATTAATTCTGTCAAGTTTTCCTTAATTTTTATAATCTTATACCTTGTTGGCATAGTAATGGAAATAATTAAATATTTGTGAGAAAAATGGCAATAGCTCTAAACATGATGGATGGAACATTTTTTGAATGCGGAAAAGCTGCATTGTATCACTATTTATCTAAATTGAATTATGCTCGTTTATAATATTTAATTAAATTTTCAACTTTTAAAGAAGCAACAGTACCAAAACCCATACTTAAAAAAATAATAAAAGCCTTGATGCTATCAATAAGATTCTAACATAGAATAGATAGAATATAATATCAGAATAAATGGCGTGAATTATAAAATTATTATTATGTACCTCTCTAATATTTGTATACAATTGGTTCCAAAAAAATTAAACTCTTTATTATTGATAGAGTTTCTTTCAACAATTTGAGGTACTCAACAGTCTGATTATCAATTAATTTAACTTTTGAAAAAGTGTCTTTATTTAATAAATTTCAAATATACATATACTGGATGTCACTGACCATTGTGCATGACTGTTTGTTTGAATGACATTAAGATATTTTTTAGCAATGTATACAACTAAATATCACATTCATAAAGCAAAAAATTGTATTGAAAATATTTAAATAACTGAAAAAAAATTTAATCAAACATTTAACAGTTTTAAGAAAAATAATGTATTATCAAATTATATATTTGATTAAAAATTGTAATTATGGTATTTAAAACAATAATTATTGCTAAATCTTTTGTATTCTTTAAGGCGTGACATATTTTTTCCTTCATCTTGTCTGTCTTGTTTCGATTTTCACTAAAAATATTTGTCCGTGTTTGTTGCAGTACCGATAGCACACATGGTGGCAATCGCCGGCGAAGCGACCTACATGCCCTGTGATATCACAACGCCGGAGCCGATGGACACGGTGGTGCTGGTGCTTTGGTACCGCGAAGACTTGGGCACCCCAATTTACAGGTGAGTGACACGCCGCACCTGTTCTCCCTCCTCGCGCGCGCTATTTTATTTATTTCCCCAATATCGGACTTTTTTCCCTTTTCTCAAAAAAGCGAATATTTCGTCCGCACACCTGACTGCCGACAAAGGAGAAGGTGTGCGTGCGAGAGCTGTTTGTGTATATTATCAGAAAAACGTTTTAGCGCGCAGATTGTGCAGCTTATACGGCCGCCTTTTATTATATTCCTGCTCCATTTCCATAAATCTCCAGTGCTCGCTGCGTTTCGTGAACATATATTTTCGGCTCGGTTTAATACCTAATGCGTCGCGAGCCAAAGAAAAAGAAAGGCGAACGCGCCGCCTTTCGCTCGTCGGCAATATTATTTATGAGTCGCGAAGTTTACGATTTATTTTCATGTACAGTGACAGCCACGCTGACAACTTTCACCAAAGTTGAAACTACAAACGCGTCTCGGTTTCCTCCCCAAGCACCGCCCTTCCGTGCCTCAATTCAATCCATTTCTATCTGCTACATTTTTCCCTTCTCCGAATCCATTAACTTTTTCCACATAATCGGAGAGAAAATTAAATTTAATGAGATGCCTCGCATTTGAATAAATTGATAAAAAAAAACGCCCTAATGCCTTCTTCTTTTTCATTTATATAAAAAAAAGCTGGTTAATAATTTGTCTCGCATCAAAATGCACCCTCTGTCAAAATTATAATATTTCTAAACTGCGAAAAATTAGATTAAATGACGCAAATAAATTATCCTGTCAGGCCGGAGCTATTGCATGAAGCCAATTTCATAATTTCGAGGAATAAATTGCTCAAATTTGCGATACCGGCACGTATTACAGCGCCCGCGCACATTATTCCCCTTGGCTGCAAGAAATTTTGTAATAAAAGTAGCAGCAGGACGAAAACGTGAAAAATGGCGAACCATTATTATTTTTGCATCCACGCATGTAATGTGTGTGTTCTCGTCTCGTAAACTAATCCGCGCTCTCTCGCCGTATTATTTGTGTTTGGGATTAAATTAATATTTATGTACGCCCGCGCGAGCACCAAGAGAGAGAGAGAGGTGCATTTTTCGCAATTTCTGATACCGGCACGTTTTCCAGACTCGTGTATTAAAAATTAAAAATTTTCCGGTGCCACTGCACACTTTCTCTCTCGCTCGCTCGCGGGTGGTGATAAATGGCTCACGAGGCTTAACGCTAGCTTGCATTTGTTGAACACGCCGCGTAGAGATTAAATTTGAATTCGCTGCTGGATGAGAGAGAGAGAGAACCAGGAGCTGCATGAGTGCAATAGTCGGTGCGGCGTGATGCGCGGTAAATTAATTAGAGGCACGCGAGCTGCCAACCGACTTGCAACGAGGATAGCTCTCCTGACAATATCCTCGCAGAAAGTGTGCCACAGAGAAGTCTAGCTAGATGAGCTGCATAAAATACAATGCCATTTGAAACAAGTTTGTATGTGTCTCACTTTTCTTCTCTTTGTGCGAGATGCATTATGCATCACAATGCATCTCACTTTAGCTGCAGGTGTTTCAAGCTCTGGTTGTATCTCAATATTTTCCACTTTACCGTTCTTTGTCATAATGGTTTTTCTCCACTCTGGTGTCTTGACTTTCTGAATAAAAAGCACACAGACTTCAAAGCCGGAATAAAAGCGAAAGGTTGCAAATTCATTTTATTATAATTTGAAGCATTTTACTAAATTTAAGTTGTTTGTTTTCAATTTGAAAATGGCTTCAATACTTTTGCCAACCCAGATCTATGTAATGTATTATTTAGAAATTTAAAATGTTTTTTGAAAAGAATAATGTTGCGATCGAAGGAAGTTTCATGGCGATTGAGCATAAATTTTATTCCACTTTTCCTCACAATCAGAGGATTTGTTTGAAAGTAATTTTTTAGACTAATTACTTACATAATTTTCTTCAACATATTCACAGCTTATAACAAACACTACAATTTAATTATATGATTGTATAATTCCAAATTTTTATCATTTTCAATTACTCAAAAAGTCTCTTTTCAATTCGTTTTCAATTTTGAAAAGTTAATCAATTCCAAACATAAACACATCACACATTTTAATCGAAGGTTTTTTGCCTCTTGATTAAATTTGAAACCTCAGCAGATTCAACTTGAATCAGAGCTCACAATCAACTCTCTGTTCAAGGATGTTCGCGAGTAATTCAAAGTGCCAAACACAGCGCCTTGTTTTCTGTATAGCGCTAGGCAGTGACAAGCAGCCCTTTTTTTCATTCAAGCCGCCTCAGTTGGTCCAGTCGTCGGAGGAGCTGGTGAAAAACAAACGCCGAGCGCAAACCACAAACACACGCCACGAGCAGGGTGTGTGCTCCGCCGAGAGTTTCCTTTTGAAAAAGCCGGCAGCCCAATCCATTAGCATGCATCGAATGAAATGAAGAGACGTGCGCGCCACCCAAGTAGCTCTGTGCGAGCGAGAGAGAGAATGAAAGCAAAAATCTCGAGAATTGGCGCTCAACCCGCCGTATAGAGCTTCTTTATCAAAAGGCGAAAATTCACTCGCTCGCTGCGGGCCTGTCAAATTGCAGCCGACTTCATTAAACCGAAAGAAGAACTTTGTCAACTTCAATATACACAATGGCGGGCGAGAGACGCGGGTTGTTTCATTATTCACGGCACATTTTAATTGAACTTGGCAGGCCTGAGAAATTGCACGTTCATTTATACGTACAAGGCGTAGCACGTGGATTTAGAAAGTGGGCGTAAACAGCAATTTGCTTGCCCGAGGCAAAACTTCTTCTCATCTTGGTATAAGCCTAAAATCTGTTTTGTGTTTTCAGCGTGGACGGCCGAGACAAAAACTTCAGCCAGGCCGAGCGGTGGTCGGACGAACACGTCTTTGGCAGCAGGGCCTACTTCATATCAGAGCGGACTCCCGCCGAACTGGGCATTGACAGCGTCAAAGTCACGGACGCCGGCGTCTACAGGTGCAGGGTCGACTTCAAAGTGGCGCAAACCAGAAACTCGAAAGTCAACCTGACCATCATTGGTGAGTACAAAACGAATTACTTTTGAACTCTGCGAGTCTCTTACATTGAGCTCCTCTAGAGCTTACGGCCTTTTCCTCGATACAATTCTTCACTATAGAGGAAAACGCTCTACCACTTTCGGTCACGGTATTTAGACCTTATTTAATAAGAGAGAAAATTATTGCACTAATTCTAGTAATCTTCTAGAAAATTGAAGGATAATTTTCAATTGTTAAAATAAAAATGTTGTGAATAAACAATGTTAATCTGCACTCCATCATCAATGTAGACTATATTCCGCAGTTAAGATTGATTGAAAGCAATTTCAAATTTAACTTTTTAAGCGTTTTATTATTTTAAAACTTTGTTTTTTTTTTTATTACTTTCAATATTATGGAAAATATTTTAGTAAAAATAATCGAAAACAACTTTTTTGTCTATTAAAAACTTTAAAAAATACTGCGAGAATTGTATAATAATTTTCTTTATCGTTATTTACATTATTATCATCAATAATGAAGAGAATTTATGGTACAAGACCATATTATAAAAATTAAAATTCAATGTATCTAATAAGTACAAATAATATTCTTATTGTTAATGGGATAAATTTAAATTTCCAATTTCTTTTTCCTCGTTCCAGCTGCCTTAAGTAGTTGCTACCATATTATAATTAATTAGAAATATTACTTTTGAACGGAATTGCAATGCAACGTCCTCTTTTTTTAAGCAAACTACTTGTCTACATTAAATCTCATTTCGTTTACAAAAGCATCCCGCTATATAAATAGAGAATATGAATCATTCTAAAAGCACTTTCAGAAGGAATGGAAAAGGTCGTGGAAATGTATTATTAACAAATGATAAAATAGCGGCAGCGGCAGACAAGTTTGCTGCCGAACACAAAAATGAGTGTATCTTTTTAAAGAAATCCCGACGGCATGCGTACTTGTGCAAACTGGAGTATTATCATCAAAACTTGAGCGAAGAATGTTATCATATCCGCCGCTCTCGCTTCTTTCCGCTTCATATTTCTCTTTCTCCATTCTGGCCATTTTCAAATTCTGCTCTCTCACATTAATTGCGCGCCGGTCTCGAATATCGGCGAATCCCTGGAGAACGCAGCCGGCAGCTGGATTGAAATTTTTGAAGGCTGCTCGCTCGCTCGCTCGCCTACTTTTTGCGATATCAGCAGCAGTCTCTCTGCTCACGGAAAATCAGTTTCGCTCTCATTACGCGCCGAGCAGCCCCTGGGACAACGTCTCAGCTTCTCTTGCTTGCACACAAGCCGGGGCCAAACTCGCCTGATTCAATAAAACCAAACCCACCCCTTATCTACGACAACACCGGTCGTAAAATTTAATATCGCCCGACGTGTGTATGCTTTTCAGAATAACTTTTCCGGCGCACTTGTTCCGAGGTATTTGTCAAATTAATTTGACAATATTCCTCGCTTTCCAATAAACTGCCGGCGTGTGTGATTTATTGCCCGAGTAAAAGTGCCGTTCGGGTGTGTATTATTGCCTCTGGAAGGAGCAAAAAAAAGTGGCCTACATTCTCCCCCCGCCGCTGCATATAATATATTCCGACTCGCCGCTCGAGCAGATGACGTCGAACGTAATATACGATTGCAAATGTTATTTTATGCCGGGCCGGAAAAAAGACGAGGTGTCGTGCACACTCGAGGGCGAATTGATTGTTGGCGAACCCGCCAGCGTGCACTTGTGTGTGTGGCGGGCTGCAGCCGGGGTCGGTGTTTGTTTGTTATTCATCATTCTGTGGCTCCAGAGTGACGCTGGCTAAATCAATCTGCCGCCGTGTCGCACTGCCGCAGTATTTAATTTGCATCCGCCGTTTGATAAGGGCGCTCTCGATCGCAAATCAACACGTTGCAGCACCGACCCTCTCGATTAGCCGTGTTTGGGCGAATTTGCCTCCCAATGAATTTGTTCCGAATGAATTACAAAGGGTCATGTGCTTGCTTCTGTTTATAAAGGCTGCGAGCAATCTAAACGAAATATTTACCTTTTGCTTTATTTATTTATGCTGTTGAATGATACGTTTAGAGATTGGACTCTCTTGGTTTTAATGGTTATTTTGACAAATAAAATTCTGATGATTGCTTTTCGTCAACAACAAAAGTGATTGACCATTAATACTTTTAAAAAGATTTTTAAATAAATTAACACAGCTTTATCAGCAGTAATATTCAAACCTAATTAATATGTTTAGATGAATTTGAACAGTTATTAATTTTTCTCAATATTATATGAAAAGTATTTCAATTAAATATTATCTTATGATTCTATTTTGTGCGGAAAATACATCTTTAAGCCTAAAACTTTTTATATAAATTGAATTATTTTGAAAAAATTAACATTTTTTAAAACACATAATATTCCCTTTGTTACGGCTTCAGGGGGGTCTGAAGCAAGAAATCAATTTTTTCACCTAAATATATCATCTCAGACATTGCTTATCTTTTTAAATTTGTATGCTCTGTAAAAACTCTGTGTCGAATTGCCTAAAAAATTGAAAAAAATGATTTACAAATTTTTATTGCCCTTTGCGCACTTTCCATAAGCACAGCACCAATAAAATTAATTGACTTAAAGCTCGTTTGTGAAAAATGTGAAAATCACAATCTCCAACCGTGGAATTGAGAAAGTAATGCGGCAGAAATCGTTATGAACGTATTCCATGCATACGAATAAGCACCACTCGTTGGGAGCAAAGTGTAAAACATCAACGCTAGTGATGATGTGCTTGGCAATAGATTCAGGGAAAAAAGCGCTTCATAAAATTTTCACATTAGCACTAAAAGCGAGCGAATGTGCTGACCATCGCATTATAGAAACAAAGTGTGCGCGGCTGATAATTGCACGCCGAGAGAAAATGAAATGCCTTTTTGCAGACTGCTGATTGCAGCCGAGAGGTAAATAATTATTCCACCTTGCCATGCTGAAAATTTCGCGAAACATGCAATCTGTTTACTGCAAGGCTAAATAATATCCGCGCGTTTATGCCGACCTAATTGGACGTGAACATTCGCTCTACACTTTTCATCGGCACATTACTGCCGTTCCCAATTAAAAAGAACTTTGAATAGCATCGACGGAAATGCGTGTACGCGCGCCTCTGCCTCTCTCTCTCTCTCTCTCTCTCTCTCTCTCGTGTCCCATAAATCGGGTTATCGATTGCGAATAGCAGGTGGCTGGAGCGCCTCCATTATTTTGTCCAATTAAAGCCGAGCACGCGCGTGTGTGATGCAGCTAGTCGCGGTGTCGAGCGACGCCATTCACTGCCCGCTTTTTATTAAACATTAAAACTTGATTACATGAAAATAACGCGCGGCGAGCCCATAAATATGAATGATGAACACACCCCACGGAAAAAGTGCAAACTAAGCCAAGGCTTTCACATATTTGCAACATCTGCAAACCAGCATTTTGAATTTATTTGCTATATCTGCATACAAGTTGCAAAAAGCGTGCAATTTATGACAAAATATGCATGTTGCTAACAATTATTGCGCCATCAAAAATGAAGTAATCAATACATACCTTGACTTTTTTTAATAGATATTTTAAAAACAAGAAAATTAAATAAAAAATATTTTGATACCATTAATTTTTAAAATCTAACATTAAAAAATTATTACTTTTACAAAATGTATTACCAAGCCCGGTGGCTCAGTGGTTAGAATGCTTGCATTCTAATCAGTGGGTTTGCTCGGCCGTCATGGGATCAATGCTCAGCCTGAGGCTCTTTGTGGAAACAAATTGTCTCTGGTATGCGAATCATTGATAACATTTCGGCTGACACGTCGGGAATTTGGGAGGTATGGCGCAAGCTGTACCGACTCGCACTCGGAGGTTTGCCATGTTTCCTCCGAGCCACAAGCTGGAAGAACTCAGCTTGTGTGGCGAATGCCTGCGTTTCATTCTAAGTCCTTCGTGGCAAGGCCAGGGTCAGGGGGCAGGTCTGGGGGGGTGGTAAGGGCTTCCTATGCAGAGTGTCTACTCTTCATAAAAAGCTCCCGCCAAGGAGTGAAGGGTAGGGGGAGTAACCAAACAACTCCTGCACCGTGGCATAGACCAACCCCAAAGTTGAAAAACTAAGTGGGTGCCATTAAAAAAAAAAAAAAAAAAAAAAAAAAAATGTATTTGAATTCTATTTTTGGTAAATTTGCTTCCAATTAGAATATTCAATTGAGTTGATGATATTCATCAATATTTTAATATATATCTTAATTTAAATTTGTTTCTTTCATTCCTAATAACATTTTAATAATATTATAATAACATTTAAAATTTTTTTTAAGATTTGTTCAGATAACGTATGATTAGCTAATGATTTTGCACACCCTATGGTATCATTAAAATTAAAAAATGAATCATAATTTTTACAAAAAAAAATCCTTTGAAAATACCATTTTTAATAGCCTTGCCTTCTCCAATAATTGGATTTTGCATTTAAAAGCAGAACAGGACGTTGCATGTGAAAATAAACGGGTAATATGTGACATTTTTAGAGCCGTGAAAGATAAATGAATGAAGAGACGGATGAATTATGCGGCCGCAACTCGCCTCTAAATAAAATGCGTGACGCAAGAAGTGAATTATTGGAGTGCGATTCAGGTGCGCGCTGCACAATGAAATGACAGACGGCACGAGGAAGTCATAAAAAAGGCTCGCTCCCGCGCACCATTGTTAAACGCTGTTGTGATTTACAGCCGGCCTAATTATGATTAATTCAAAAACTCGCCCGCCGCTCGCTTATTTGCAATTTGTTTCGAAAGGACACGCGGTGTTTTTCAGTTGATTTTCATATCAACGCGCGACCGGCACGCAAAGGAGATGAATATTCATCCAATGAGTGAGCGCCAGACAGACGTGTGAAATGGAGCGTCAAATGAATTTTTACCCAGGGCACACTGCCGAACAGAAATTTGTTTGCTCGGTGTTAGATTTACAATGCTGGGCTAAATATTTGAATTAAAAAAGCATTTCAGCTCAAT